ATCTTGCTCTACAGCGGCTGACGCTCACCGTATGATTGTGATTCATTTTTCAGAGTACCGATGTGAATCTTGACACCTTTGAATCGATTTATCATGATTTTACGATTCATCTTTACATCCTTAATTTACAGAAATGAAACATGAAAATGAGTCTAACAGAACTTTTGGTATTTTGTATGGCAGCCACGGAAACAACAAATCCTGTTTTTTTTAAACATTCGCTTATACTCAATAAAAAAGCCGATCATCTTGAACCATTTTGGCAAACATATAAGTCATGTTTCAAGCCTGAATTCAACTTTTGTGAAAAATGAATCAGTATATCTACTTTTTGGAGTGTTGGTGGAATAAATATGGTTATCTCAGAATATTTAGACGAGATGTTTCACTTTCTTTCAGAGTTTTGTTTCACTCCTTCTTTGAAGCATCAGCTTTATTGGGCATGTTTGGGTACTATGGACCTTCTTAGGGGACTCATTTCCTGACAAATTCACAAGGTGCTGTACTTTGAAAACTTTGTGGCCGCCTCCCAGAACAAACCCTGGTGGCGGGTTGCAGTTTGACCAGCATCAAGAGCCAGCACATGCAAATATTAAAATGTGTTTAAACCACCAATTAATTTTTTTCTGTGCAGACTAGCGACGGTGATGATGTTTAAACACGCACATCCTTTTTGTGTACACACACAGGAAATTTGACTCCGGTTTTAGCTCTCATTATACATGCACAGAAATACATTTAGAACAAGTATAACACGTTTGACGAAGGTTACACAAACATTCAACACAATACGACTGTGTGTGGATGTGCTATTAAACATACTCTGATATGACTCCTCGTCTTTCCTCTCTGACAGTGTGCTTGTCATTTTGAGTTAGAACTAGCTCGTACAATTTTTTCTATTTAATTTATATCTAATTTATCTGACAAGTCTCTTTCCCTTGTATGAGAGCATGTCTGACACGACAATGTTGGTCTTAGCTTTTTTTTTTTATTGAAGTCCCTTTTGGACAAATAGCATTCCGGTACATTTCCTTTTTGACCATGTGAGAATTTATTTTAAATTTTACTGGCATTTATTGTGAAGCTTTCTATCTTTAATGAAGCAGATTAGAGAAAATGGATGAGACGGTTGTGAGATGTGCGAGTTGTGGATGAGTAGACTCGGCTGCACTGCTTCCAGATTTAGTCGTCCGTACACGTGATCACAACACACAGCAGATCCACCTGAGGGCAGAGCAGTCGAGCATTCAGTGCCTGGTGCTTAGTGCAGGCATGCATGTGAATGAACGTATAACCCACACATACATGCACTCAGACTCACTGAATGCACATATTTTGTGCTCATTCTTTTTCCTTTTTTCTTTTTTTTTTTTATGTCCGATTGATTTCCTGTTTTTATCCCGTCTGCAGAGCGATTTTCAAATCTCCCGTTAGCCACAAGCTACTTATACTGCATACATTTTAGTTGTGTTTTTATTTGTATTTTTTTAATAATGTCAGCGTGTTTAGACTAAGCAGCCCAGATTCATTTGTGTAAAAAAAAAAAAAAAGGAAATTGTTAGAAAAAAGTCCAGTCTCAGTGTTCATCTATTTCCAATCCTCTCATTCATACAGTGCATTTAAGACAACAGCTAAGTTTAATGAAGTGCTAAACAGAGAATTAAAAAATTTGAAAACAAAACAAAAAATTTAAAAAATGTATTAAAAAAACCATAAAATACATAAAAACACATCAAGCACATTAAAGCCTGTGGAAAAAAACCTGAATACTGTTATTAGCTAGATGAAAATAGACTGAAATGTGGATGTTCTTGTGATTAAAAAGGACCCATCACAGTGGTGGTGATGTCCATCAGTTGTGCTTGAAATCAGATTTTAACCTCAGATTCCAGGTGAGCACTGTAGCGTGTCCTGGACATGCATAAAGGGGTGAATAACTTTACTATAGCTAACGGAAGCTCACCACCCATTAGTTAACTAGTCTCCTCTTTCCTAGAACTATGTGAGAGCTTGCTCCCTACCAGCTGCTAGTCTACTCTTTCCTAGTACCTGGAGCTATGTAAAATGACTCCGCTAACACCCTTTGGAGAAGAGAGGACTTATATAACCACATAGCTTTAGGATTATCTGCCTAACATTCATTTCTAGAATAATTTGATTCAAGTATAATCCTTGATTCAGGACTCTAAATTACCCCCCGGAAACTCGCACCCCCGAAGAGGGGTTAACTGCAACTCTCCTCACTCGGATGCTAGGTGTGTATGAGGTGTGTAGTAAAAGTCAGTAGAAGTGTGCCGTGGTGTGACTGCTCAAGCTTACATCCCAAGGTTCACGCAGGTCCTTAAGAGAGACTCTGGTCTCTGGTGTGAATGACTTCAGTTAGAAAATGGTTTCAAAAAGGTTCAGAAAATGTATTAAAATACTTCAAAAGATATTCCAAATGCAAAACAGTAAAAGTAAAAATGTAAAAAGTAAAAGAAAAATACAAATACAAAAGTTTAAACCCGAGAGTGTAGACACTTGAGGTTTTAAAAGATCTTGGTCTCAGAGACAGATCAGCGTTTCCTTTGGTTTTCTGTAAAACTTCAACAGTGCATATTTGCAGAAACGTTATGCAGCCACAGTTGATACCAAGTTCATATGTGGTTTTAATGTCAAAGCATAAAGGTGACACAGGTGTCTGGCACACTTATCCTGACCGCACATGTGCATAGGCACCGCAGGTGTGTGTAGAGTTGACAGGAAATATAAAAGCCAAAATAAACAAAAGTCGTAATGACTATATGACATATGAATTAAATGATCAAAAAGATTATATGGTAAACTCTTTGTGATCTTTCAACAGCACAAACAAAACGTTTTACTGCTGATGAATGTGAAAACAGGTTTGTAACATCAAACTCTGCTCGCATGTCATTCTGCTCAATAAAGGTCAAACATCAAAATGAAGAAACTAAAAGACAAACACATTTTTTTGGTGGGGAGGCACTTTTAAAGTTTGTAGTGTAACCAGTGGCCGCTCTGCAGGCGTGTGTTTACATCACACGAGGAGGAAGTGACGGCCATGAGGGAGCGAGCACACGACTGCAAATACTTCAAGTTTGGTGTAAAGAAGAAACATGAGGATGCATCACTCCTCCTCCTCCTCCTCCTCCTCCTCCTCCTCCTCCTCCTCCCCCTCCCCCCCTCATCTTCATCAGTGAATGAACACTGTGCACTCTAGCGTGTCACTCTGCCCTTTTTTCGCCTGGTCATGTCAGCTCCATTCATACGTGTGTGTGTGTGTGTGTGTGTGTGTGTGTGTGTGTGTGTGTGTGAGAGTCTGTGTGCTTCCTGTATTTAATGGTGCAGCGCAGATCTGAGGGGGATTTTGGTAAATTCACCTCTTCGTCTTTCGTTATCCTCATTTATTAAAAACCTCATCAGGTCCACAGAATCGTCCATAATGAAAATGAAGTGTTATCAGAAGGAGAGAGAGTTAATGCTGTTTGGAGGATTCCTTTGGAGATGAGAATAGGAGTTAAAATTCAGTACAATTCAGGGAATTTCCTCAAACACAACAGAGGAAAAACACTACAATGTCTTCTTATTTTTAATTAGCCCTCTCCGATGCAGGAGATAACTAGTTGAGATGAAAAATCTAATTTCCAGGAGTGTTGTGACAACGACAGGCAGCAAAACAGTTGACTAACAAACAATGACAAGCCATATAATGTCTCCCCTCAGGCCACAGATACAGATCTCTCACTTTCCGGACTAATCGAGCCATGTCAAGCTTTGCTCCCACATCCATCAGGCTCATGAACAAATGATCTATTTCTTATTTCTTATTATTTAACACCACTCTTTTAACCTCTTATAACAATTATTTATAGCCTATTTATCATGCTTTTAATAGAGCCACTTGTATGTGTGTGTTTCTGTATGCGCACTGATGCTCTTTTTACACAAATGAAGTTCCTAACGGATAAATAAAGTTATTTGAATTTGAATTGAGTATAAAACTACAAAATTAAAGCCCATCCCAATTGAAGGCCCGCACCCTTTTACTAACCTGGTGTTGCCGCAGGTCTAGACGAATAAAAGCAGATCTCAATCAGAGGCCCAGATGTATTTAGTGTTGAAATAGTTTGTGGATCAAATTTAACGAGAAAAAGCAACACAACAGAAAAATTAAAAATGAACAACATCTGACAAAAAAGCTTGAATGTGTGCGGGCCATGAAGCAGGCTTTTCACAGCGTTATGAATGCAAGATCTAATTCTTGATTTAGTTAATCTGATTAATTGATATCTTCATTTTGAACACATTTAAATATTCTTTCTGGTGTAATTTTAAAACCTCATGGTCTTCCCCCTCTTTGCTGTGCTGAGATTTGTTAGAATATGATTCTATGCCTTGTCTCGTATTGAAGCCTGTCCCAAATAAAGTCAGGGTCATTTGGGCCATTAATAGAATTGTACGGTATACAAATGTAATGCAACATACAGGCCTATACATTAAAAGATGTAAAATTACATGTAGAACAGCAAATATTTGTAAAAGTCGACCATAATCAAAAGAATATAAGGCACAACATTTACAGCCAGATGTACCTGCCCGAGTCATTTCAAATCATCTTTTAAGCATCCAGTGAGGGCGGATCTTTTACTTTCAGCTCTATTTGTCATTTGTTTCTAAGTCATGGGAGCAGCAAACTCAAACGCCTTTTACCCCAGTTCAGCTCTGACCTTTGGAACACACAGTAAGAAAAGATCTTGGGACTGAAGATTTGGAGTTCCTCTACTCCTCTTACTGATGGAGGTTAGAAGTTACAAATAGAGCAGTCCTAAAATAGAATTGTCAACACGTGTTTTAGTCTACGTATGGAAACAGGATTTATGAGATTAACCTCCTCAGATCTGAACAACATGTATTTCTGTGTCTTATCACTCTCCACTGGAGCTTCAATGGAAGACTGAAGTCATCATATATATGTGTGTCTATTTGTTTTCCAGTTTCGATGTGGAGAATGGCCCGTCTGCCAGCTGCAGCCCCCTGGACCCCCAGGCTTCCCCCGGCTCCGGTCTGGTCCTCCACACTAACTTCCCGGGTCACAACCAGCGGCGGGAGTCCTTCCTGTACCGCTCGGACAGCGACTATGATCTCTCTCCCAAGTCCATGTCAAGAAACTCCTCCATCGCCTCGGAATTGTAAGGACAAAACTCGCTCAGCAGGCACACAAAGAAATATGAGCGTAGAATAAATGCTCACCGTGGTTTTCAATATTTGAAGAGGATTAATCCAAAACAGTTTTATGAAATCTTGTTGTTGTCATAGATTAATGCCCCCCCCCCACACACACACACACACACACATTCAGATCTCATGAGAGGTACTCTAAAGTGAGGGGAATATATAAAACAGTCTATATCAGTACTTCCCAAAGTGTGGGCCCCCTGGTGGGCGGTGTGGGTACTGCAGGTGGGCTGCAAAAAGCCCTCCATCAATTTAAAAAATAAAAGAAATATCACAATAATGATAATTTACCATGAGTCAACTCTTTAAGTGATTAGTAAGGCGTGTCATGACTATTCATGGACATAATGTTTACTAAACCTTTGTGTCTATATTGCCATAATATCATGTTGTAATGTCCAATAATTTACTCTAACTGAAAGTTATAGATGTAGTCATAAAAAGAAAACAATTATAACGGGCCCCGGAGTAATTTTGTATTTTAAAGCGGGCCGCGCTTTAAAGATATTGATATCAGATATTACTCAACATGACAATAATCTGAAGCCTTTAAAGTCATTTTAGCACTTTGCACCTTCTCAACATACAAGTAGGACACATTTACTGATGAGTCCTCTACGGGGTTACATCCCATTCTGTCTCGTTTGTGATGGATGACCGTCCTCCTGTACTACTCTTCATTTGAGTTAATGACAGTAATGAGGCTGACCAGGTCATGGTGGAAGAAACCACTCTGCTTATGAGCTTTATACAACATGATGATGTCTGTAACCACCTCTCTTTTTTATCTGTGTTTCATTGCAGACATGGAGATGACCTGATCGTAACGCCTTTTGCTCAGGTAAACGTCTTTCTCAAAAGGAGCCAGATATCACCTTACATTTTTAATAACTTCTACATGGTTACAGATTTGTAATTTTAATGTGAAAAAACTGAATTAAAATATGAAATAAGTGTGATGAAAACAATTCTTATGATGATTTCTTCTGCCTTTCTAGGTTCTTGCAAGCCTTCGTAGTGTGAGGAATAACTTCACTGTCCTGACAAATGTCCAGTGTGCCTCAAGCAAGTAAGTGTTTGTGAATCAAAGACAAGCCTTTACACTATTTTCTTTTACTTAGTTTTCGGTCAAATAGTTTCAGTCTTCTTTGACATCTTTGGGAAAATACTTCTCGTGGACTCTAGGAGGAGCCGGCTAATAATAAAACATGAGTTATATTTTTTATTATAATCATGGGAACCTTTTTTCATAAATCTTCTTATAGTCCATCTACTCTCTCTCTCTCTCTCTCTCTCTCTCTCTCTCTCTCTCTCTCTCTCTCGCTCGCTCTTGGGATTCACTATTTTGATTGAGTGCAGAATTTATTTTAAAACAGTGAGAAAGTTTTTCAGTAAATCTTGTGGAACTGAAACAAAATCAAACTCCTCCTAAATAATTAAAAGGCTTAATTGCATATTTTAAAATCACAAAAAAAAGTTAAATTCCTCTAATGACCGTCATGTGCATTAAGTCTGCAGTTGCTTAATTTGACCACAAGGTGGAAGCATTGGGCTTTAAACTGATTGTTGTGTGAGACTCACTACAGCTGTTTCCACCAATCACAGATGAGCACCTAAAGTGGTCCAGCAAAAAAAAAAAGAAAATAGAAACTGGGTTTCTTTATGTAGTAATGTTTAAACCTGAGTCTGAGCTTTTATCATGTTTTTGTTTGCTACTGGCTTACAAGCTTAAATTTAACCTTTTATCATGTTTAATTTTCTATTTAAATGTTTTATTGATCTTAACATATATACTGTTTTTTATTCTGTGAAGCACTTTTTGCTGCATGTTCATCTGAAGGTACTTTATGATGATACACATAATGCAGTAGATTCATAAAATTCAAATCATGACAAAAATACTCCTCACAGAAAACACAAGTTTAATATGGTGCTGCTCCTCATATAGTGCATTTGATAAGAAAGCTGGTCCCAGTCCTGCAATGCAGCAAGATCGACTGATTCATTTTGCACATGATTTATGATTCCAAAGGTCTAGACAAGGTCAGAAAATATAGAATAAAGAAAGCTTTGTACGTTTTCCCTAAGCTATAACGGACGTTTTAGATTTACCTGCTTTATAGCATCAACTAATAGAAACCAAAATATTAAGAATGTTTTAAAATGAAAAAGAAATGTAAAAAAGAGACCACAACAAGGCTTTTTCAAAGTAGCGTATTCATTTTTTTGTATCTTGATAAGGTAATGAATAAACTGAACTATGCTTTCAGCTTCATTATTCTAATTAAAACAACACAATGCTTTACAGACGCAGACGCTTACAGCATCACACCTCCCTTTGAAAACATGTATGAAGGCCAGCTTCAGTTCTATTCTTCTCTGTAAGGGCTTACAGGTGTGAGCGTGTGTGTGTGTGAGCGTGTGTGTGTGTGTGTGTGTGTGTTTCTAAAGCTGCTCTCTCTTCTCCTACATGCTGTATTAACCCTGAGTCTGCTGTACTGATGTACTGAATAGCAGCAGCAGGTGTGACCTACATTCAGCCCAGACACTTTTACACTCACATATAGGCCAACATGCTTTAACACACACAAATCAAACTTCATATTCAAACAAGATCTTACAGATGACCAATAAAGGAGATTAATCAACACACATTCAGCCGTCCATCATCCGGCTGTCACAGAAATTTGTCTCATTAAAATGTAAAATAGTCACTTTGGTTACAAGTGAATTTCATTTTTAAATGATTATATCACTTGAGTTGACCCGAATGGAAATACATGCGAACAATAAACACTTACAATGAGATGCAACAGGATTAAATGGAGAAAATCTGAACATGTACTTTAAGGCTCTGTTACAATAAAAATACCACAAAAAATATCCCAACTTAAGTAAATCAATGTTCACGTTATCCCCGTCTGTAATTCAAATAACAACATTACCCAAATGTTGATTATTTCCTTTCACCCATAACCAAACCTAAAGTGTGAGAAAATGTGATCGTTTATTTGGGGAGAATAAATCTTTAAAGATGAAGACTGTCCATTAATGTCTTTATTTTGTCCATTTTGTCCGTCTTGCAGGAGGTCTCCTGTAGCACCGACTCAGCCTCCAATCACCAGAGTTTGTCTACCAGGTAAGAATCTGACCTCTGTAAAGCTGCTTCAACAACTCCTCTCTTTTTCCTATCTTGCTTACATCTGGCTGGAACTTTTTTCCACCAGACATTTTTGTCTTGCTCTCTCTGTATTCTCCTCTCATCTCTCTCTCTCTCTCTCTCTCTCTCTCTCTCTCTCTCTCTCTCTCTCTCTCTCTCTCCACTTCTTAATCCATCTTGTCATTTGCTTGTGAACTTGCGTACGTGAGGGCGTCAAGCTTTTTTTTTTTTCACCATCCGTCTCCAGACTCTGGGTTGTTGTCCAGACTATTTTGTCATCAAGCTCATTAAGCGTGTTCAGAGACAATTCAGCTGCTTGTTTGAGACGCACAGTGTGGTCTATTGCAGCGACAATGCTCCCTTTTTTTCTTTCATCAGGTTTTATTTTAGCAAGCTGTGTGTGCGTGTGTGCGTGTGTGTGTGTGTGTGTGTGTGTGTGTGTGCTTGTATTAGGCAGTGACAGACAGTGTGTACTGAGCTTTAGAACTTTGAGTTTGTTGTTTATCTGTGTGACTGCTACTCTCCTGTCTTGGTCCACTCTCACAACTCGTATTGCGTTGTTTTGGGCCTGAGCAGCGAGCTGAAACTCCCCTAAAAATACCCTGATTACACCATCTGCTCAGAGCAGGCACGGTGAGTTGATGAACACTTTGGAGCATTCTGCTGCCAAAGAAACAGACTGATGTGATAGAGTGAATATTAGACATTTATTCATCAGGCGGACACAAATACAACAACTGAATGACGCTCTTACTCTGTACCTGCTGGATTAATTACGGAAACTCTTCTTTTACTCACAAGGTTATAACATGGACATAAAAGGCGACAACTTGTTGAGATTGTATCTACTTTTAAAAAAGGAGACCATCCTTTTTGGTCAATTTCAAAATATTAAATGATTGGATTCTCCACTTTGAGATACGGGGTTGTCATAGCAACCCTCTCCTCCTGGCAGATCAAAAGATACAGTAGCTCATCTTGTATCCTCCTCCATTTGAAAAACACGAGTGACTGTGATGAGGTGTAATGTTTTCAAATACTAAATATTTTTTTCATGTTGTAAATTATTATTTTTTTTAAATAATGTATAAACTTTTCTATGATGCTTTACAAGGCTCAGGTAAGATTTGCTATCAAAATTCCACCGTTTACAAATCTGTGCCGTGCACACAGAGTTGCGTTTGGGGTTACTATGGAGCTATTATTGTGGCAAAACTATTTGAATATGCGTACACAGAGCCACAAATGCGTAAACTAATCTGCAAATATGTAGAGCAATTTCAAAATATTTACTTATTTATAAATGGCAGTGAACTTTTTCAACTTCTAGGCTGCCAGGCTGCGTACCGCTTTGCCCGCACTGTACAGGAAACACATTTCAAAAACACAAACTACATAACGGACCCTCCATCGTAGCCTCCTCAGTAAAACTGCACCCACGACATCCAGCTCAGTAATGTCCGTCTTGAACTCACTGGGTGCTACCGCGGACAGTCAGCCTGTGAGCCTGAGCTCAGGTCAACAAACCCCACTAACGTGTTTGCAGATCGTCAGACACACATTTGAAGATATGTTTTTCTCATTTGTGGATCTTACATGGCAGGAGTGTTGCAGAGTGTCATTTGTGTGTATTTTCAGGATTTACAGCTGAAAAAGTTCACTGCCATTAATAAATAAGTCAATAATTTGAAATTGGTCTACATATTTGCAGATTAGATCTTTTTACACATTTGTGGATCTTTTTACACATTTGTGGATCTGTGTGTGCATATTCAAATAGTTTTGCCACAATAATAGCCCCATAGGTTACGGCTTTGCAATGCAAAAACACATGCATGGGTCATAAAATGGTACCCACAGTTTGTATATCTGTGCTAAAAAAACGGCTTTTAATCTCTTTCTGAACTGAGTCTTGGGGGGGCTCCAAACGCAGTATGACACGAATCATAATCTTTCTTTCTTTCTTTCTTTCTTTTAAAATGTAGTGACCACATGTATGTTTTGAGTAGGAATGAATACGATTACATACAAAAATAAATTGCACACATGGTAGTGTCTTAGTGCAGGTTTTTGCACTTTACCACTACAGTCTTAGTTCCCACAGTGGAGGCAGAACACTAGAAAAACAGTGACATGTGTTATGTAAGGAGACACACACAATGAAACTAAGAACTGAGTGTAGATAACCACTGAAAGATAAACTTGTTTTGTGTGAAACCAACTCGGGTCAGATATGACATCTAAGATGAGAGACGATAAAGAAGCTTCAGTCAGTCTACGGACTGAAACGAGTCCCCACGAGTCTTAAAATGTGTCTTACAGCCGGAGTGTGTGTGTGTGTGTGTGTGTGTGTGTGTGTGTGTGTGTGTGTGTGTGTGTGTGTGTGTGTGTGTGTGTGTGTGTGTGTGTGTGTGTGTGTGTGTGTGTGTGTGTGTGTGTGTGTGTGTGTGTGTGTGTGTTTTCTTTTTTCAGTTTGTTTGCAGTATTTTACAGGATACGACCACATTTTAGAGAAAACATTCTCGTTTCACATCTGTATTTGAAGGTGATTAGTTTTATCATGGAATCATAAGAGAACAAAGCAACAAGTTCTACCTACGATGTGTGTGTGTGTGTGTGTGTGTGTAAGTCTGTGGTTTGTATAAGCAGCCTATAAAAACACTGACGTGTGTATAATGGAGTGTTTCGGTGTGTGGTTGTATTTTTTTAGTTTACAATTTTGCAATTGGGGATTGTTTAAGTGTATGATTAAGATGAGTGGCATTCTTATACATCATTGTGAGTAAAGCGTGTGTGTGTGTGTGTGTGTGTGTGTGTGTGTAATGTGGGGAGGTGTTCCTGTGGCTCTGATTGACGTCAGTGTGCCTGTATGTGGCTTCTGTTAACTTCCTGTCAAAGCAGATGGACTCAGTTTTCACTTCCTCCTTCAGAACCGCAGCTCATCAGGTGCTCTGAGTTTGTGTGTGTGTGCATGTGCTTGACAGATTGGGGGAATGTGTGTGTGTGTGTGTGTGTGTGTGTGTGTGTGTGTGTGTGTGTGTTTCTGGTAAACCAGCCCTATATTGCACACAATGACTGTTCTGCACAAGAGCGAACAAAGATGTCACTGATGCATAAAGACAAACTTTATTTCTTTGCATTTTTAAAGATAACGTCTGAACTTCATCACTGTTTTCATGAACAGCCTCAATTCATCCTGTACACTTTTTCTGCTGTCAGAAGATGGACAAGAAATGTATCATACTTAAGGTTTAAAGACCACAACTTTGTCTCTCTCTGTATCATATTGCCACAGCATCAAAAATTGACATACTCTGTTTTCTTGTCATCTGTGGCCATGTGCTGAAAAGTTGTTTCAAATGACACTGAGAAAGAAATCACCACATTATCTCAGATTTTAGTTTTTCAGTTGTGAAATCCTCTTGCTCATATTTATTTTTTCTTTCATATTTGCTCACATGGCAAACTAATGATTCAAGATTGCAACAGTTAATGCTTCATCTCAATAACTTAGAGTTTGGTTGAATGCAGTGAACATTTCCTGTACCTGTTTCTATCTCTACCTCTTCATACTCGGTCTCTCCAGCTTTTTTTTTTTCCACCCCTAGAGTTTTTATTTTCCTTTTCATTCCTCTGTTTGTCTCTCTCTCTCGCTTTATCGTCAACAGAGGAGTAGAGGGGGGGGGAGGGGGCAGGAAGACTGAGGCAGGAAGTGGAGGATCAGATTGTTCCTGTTTTGCTGTCTCAATACTGTCGTAACTTGACGGAAACCAGGAGGCATTATGTGTGTGGATGAAGTGTGTGAGTGAGTGTGTGTGGGGGATGTGTGTGTCAGCTCACATGAGAAAAATAGGAAGCAGAGAGAGACAAAGAGCCATTGTCTTGAGCCCACACACTGCACAAACATGCACACGCTGACAACAATGATATGACACGTAAATACCTGCAGAGCTGTATCACCACACACACATTGAAACCCTTTAAGTCTCCATGCCGACAAATGAATATCGAGTTAAAGCTGCATATGATGCCAGTTTTTAAATTCCGCTAATGAGATGTATCAAATCATTGCTTAGTCATGAGACAAAACACATGTGCACTGACGCTCTGCAAACGACAGCTCCAGATTTCTCAGTAGTCTGTTCAGGTGACTCTTCTACACGCACCTGGTGACTGTCTCTGATTCCACACTGTAAGAAGATATCTGCACACACCATCATCTTGGAGATACCTTTGCAACTTTACAGCTCTTCTATTGTACAGATATGGTATTATTTAGTTTTATATACTTTTAATCTTTACTATATGGCAAGTCGTTCAGGAAATTAATACACTGAATGAAACTCTGAATATATTAGAATGAAAACTTGAATATATTGAATGAAAACTTGAATATATGGAATGAAGTCTGAATATATGGTTTCATTCCATGTATTCAAAGTTTCATTCAGTATATTAATTTCCTGAACGGCTTGCCATATTACTATTTATTGTATTTTGTTCTGTTTCCCTGTCAGTAGGAGTACTGCTGATTTTATTTTCTGCTTTTCTGTTCATGGGTTTTGGACTAAAAGCACAAACACAAATGTGTTGAAGTGAGCCTGCAGGGGGGTTTCTAACCACCTGTGTGTGTGTGTGTGTGTGTGTGTGTGTGTGTGTGTGTGTGTGTGTGTGTGTGTGTGTGTGTGTGTGAATCTTCTTAGCAAATGACCTGATTTTGGTGCAGTGATAGTGATTTAATAAAGTTGATTTATTTACATGCTTTCCACCACAGGGTCTTCTTTACTATTTTTTTTACCAACCTAAGTGATACCATAACATATAACTTAGTTTACACTATTGACGACTAAACCTCACATTGTACTCGTGATGGAAACTGTTAGATGATGATAATCATCATCATAATGGCTTTGCTCAAGAGGCCCAACAAGGAAAGGTCACAGAAGAAGTTGTCAGTGCAGAGTTAAAGGATTCCTTAG